AACCGGCCTTGACAAAAATGGCCAACTCACGGGGTTCTCCCCTTTCCTCATGGACACACACACAACAGCCAAACCCCCTAATTTCCTACACAAATCATCAACCAAAACCCATTTCTCAATTCGCCAAAACTCATTCCCCACCTTCGGCATCTTGGTCCTTGACAACCCAAACACCCACACAACTAATTAAGCTCACAAGCAACAATTAATCCACCAATTTTCAAGGATTAGAGAAGCCAACTTACCAAAAATGCTCAACAAGCAAGCTGGAGCTGGCGGGATGAGGAGGTGCCGGCGGGAAAATGGCAGGGGAGCTTCACGTAGACTTCTAGCAATTGAAGGAAAAGAGAATTAGAGTAACTCACACAAACTAAAGCTGAAAAGAGGAATTTATGGGCTGGTTTTACCAGGAAGAAAACCAGCAGCAGCCGGCGGCAGAGGGGGAGGAAATAGAGTAGATCCGACGGCTTTTCTGCAAAAGAAAGAGGTTCTAAGTCCTAGACTCGTTCTTGGGCAAGAGGAGAACAAAAACCATCAAGTTCTCTTACCAATTTTTGCAGATGGGGACGCTGGAAATGCTGGTGATGTTCGGCAGCAGCAGGGAGAAGAAAACAGAGCAAACGCGAAAAATGGCTGGAAGAAAGAAGGAAAGAAAAGAAAAAGGAAAAAGAGATGAGTCAGCCGGCCTTATCCAATAAGAGTTTAACCCCTTTGAAGTTTGAAAAATTGACAATTAGGTCCATTAATAATGTTTCTTCATCATTAAGTCCCTAACCCAACTTAACGCTCTAGGAAATTTTGGGGTATTACACTTTGCTTACCACTTTCAATGCCAACAAAATATGAATTGAACTATATTAATCTTGCATATAAGGTGTTTGATAAAATCCTAGAAAAAAAAAAACAATTGCAGGAAAAGGTAGGTTAATGTTTTGTGTGGTATACATTTGTCTTCTACATCTTTAGGCTTGAAGATTTGTGAAAAATGAAAATTGCAAGAGATGAAGCTCTATGAAGTGACAACTTGTTCATATTACAATGTCTTAGCGATTAGTGTGGTTTTAGCAACAAAGATTAGCTTAGTTATGCAGTACTTATGCTTTATTATAATATCTTTATATTGTTGTAGTAGTCTTTTGAATTGCATTTTATATTTTTAGAATAGTATGAGAGCAAAAGGGTGATTAATTTGAAAATTTTTTTTGTAAAGAATGGATTATGGACATGTGGTTTTTGATGTAAAGCAAAGATAAAAATTACAATATTTTCTTTAGCAAATTAGTTATCATGAGCTAATACTAAAAATCGCTTTCAAGTTTCAGGTTCTAATTAAGTATTGATGCATATATAGATGACAAAACTTGGGCTAGTAAAATCAACACTTTAAATTTGAATACTTTTCTGCTTTGCCTTCTCCCAAAAAAATTATAATTAGACTGAAAATAATTGGAGAGAATATGCAACCAAGGCATTATGCCTAAATATTTATTCAAATTCAATGATAAAAAAGTTTAGCTAAACATTTATAACAGTTTCCTTTCTCTCACAAGGTCAATAACAATGTTTTAATATTTGAAAATTAGATCTCACTTCAATGGTGAAAGAGTAAAATCTAAATTAGTATGTTCCTCTTCAATTAGAAAAGAATCATTGAACAAAAAATCCCTTTCATAACTCTACAAAAAAAATAGAAAAATAGAAAAGATCAAATCAGTTAAGCAAGTATAAAACACATACCAATTAAAATATCACCAAACTAAAAGTATTTTAAATAAATAATTAAATATATAACCTCTTATAAATTGTTTAAATTTTGACTTACACATCAAGATTGTTCATTACCCTATTGTCACCTATATTTACCTAAAATAGTTATAAATAAATAAATGAATTAGTTCTTATATCATATGATAACATCTAAAAGTGAAAGGTATTTTTTAAAACTTCTACTTGACTTTCCCTGATTTTGAATTCATCACGAAGATTAAACATGGTCAAATTACTTAAGGATTGTCTTCTCTTCTGATTAACTTGCAAAGAGATATTGTAAAACAACTTAAATACAAATGTATAAGCCTCATATTGTGGTACAGTAATGTAAATAATTACTTTTTTTTTTTTTGGTATGAATCACTAGATATCTGGAAGCTCACTGGACCACTGACTAATTTAGGTTCAAGCTGGGCAGGACCCAATGGGTGGCAAAACTCCCCTTCATGAGTTTTAATGGAGCTGCATTCTCAAGACTTGAAATCAAGATCTCTGGTTAAGTTGGAAAAGTTCCCTGCCAACTCATCTACCCGCTTGTAAGTGTAAATAATTACCTTTTTCTTCCTTAATGACAGCAACTCAATTTCTTATTGTTCATCTTGCTTTTCATGGTTGACCTACACAAAAATTTGAAAAAAAAAAAAGGTGATTAGAGATCTAAATAGTATGTAATAAGAGCTTTGTTTAAGAAATAATTACAAGTATCTTTTTCTTACTTATCTTACTTTTCTCTACAATTTTCTTTACAATAGATTGCTTCTTTTTTTTTTTTTTTTTTTAAGATGACCTTTTGATCAAACTTTCAAAGGAGTTCACAATCTATTGTTGACCATTTATACTTTTTGATTTTCTTCACTAGCCTCTTGCATTGGCTCGATGTTTGCACAATTAAGATCAATAATTGATCCATTCATAAGTTTGTCCATTGCCTTATCCATAGTTCCAACTAGAAAATCAAAATTTTCTTTAGATTTAGCTCGAACCTCTGCAACTTTGTTGAAGTGAGAACACACTTTATCATATCTCAATTTTTCCCCATGACATTGGAAATCATCATAGCAATTCTCAATTAGAGTGTGCCTATGCTTACTATCCTTTCTTTAGCAATCTAAGATATATTGACGTGAAACTTCTTTCACATTTTTTTCAATTAAAACCTTCACCACATGTTAACAAAGAATCCCTTTAAATGCAAACAAGTAGCAAGGGCATTTAATTTCACCTTTAGTCTTATTGAAGCATACTTCATAAAACACATGCCTTTTAAATTTTCCATCTTTGCCTTTTAAAATGTTTTTCACAAGGTATTTTGACATTGACCCATCAACCTTATTTAGGACTAAATTGTAATAAAGTATGTGACCTATCTCTTCTTGAAATTGTTTAACAATCCCATGGGTAAAGCCTCTTCAAATTGCTTCTCAAAATAATAATCAATTATGAGTGCAGTTGTAATATCCCCAAATTTTAGGGACTTAGTTGTGAGAGATTCTTATTAATGGATTTAATAGTAAAACTTTTCGAAGTCAAGGGGCTTAAAAGAAAACAATTTGGATAAGGATCGGCTGACCCCTTTTTTTTCTTTTTCTTTTCTTTCTTTCTTCTTTCCCCGCGCGTCCTGCTATTCCTCTTCCCCCGACCCTCTGCAACCCCGACAAGCCCCAGCTACCGCCACCCCTTTTTCCGGCC